GGGAATGCTGGCCCGGGGTGGGAATGCTGGCCCGGGGTGGGAATGCCGGCCCGGACTGGGAATGCCGGCCCGGACTGGGAATGCCGATCCGGGATGGGAATGCGGGCCCGAACTGGGAATGCGGGCCCGAACTGGGAATGCCGATCCGAGAAGCTCCGGAGCAGGGAGCAGGCGGTGGTTGGTGCTGAAGGACAGGGGAAGGGCCGAGGATCCGGGATCAGCTGCAGCCGAGCGCTGCCGGCGGCCGCGGGATCCCAAATCTGCAGCGGGAGAAGGCTCAGCCCGGCCTGGGGTGGCGGCGGCACCTGGTGCTGCTGGGCCTGGGAGCCAGGCGGTGTCCTCATCCCTCCTGGGACATCCTGGATCCTGCCTGGGGCATCCTGGATCGCTCCTGGGGCATCCTGGATCCCTCCTGGGGCATCCTGGATCCTGCCTGGGACATCCTCATCCCTCCTGGGACATCCTCATCCCGCCTGGGGCATCCTGGATCCCTCCTGGGGCATCCTGGATCTCGCCTGGGGCATTCTTATCCCACTTTTGGAATTCTGGATCCCTCCTGTGGAATCCTCATCCCTCCTGGGCATCCTCATCTTGCCTTTGGAGTTCTGGATCCCACCTGCACATCCCCACCCCACCCCATGCCCTCCTCACCCCACATCCCTGCCTGCAGCACCCAGCACTGCTGCCTGGGGCATCCACCCTGCTCCCTGCAGCATCCCAGTGCAGCATCCCAGTGCAGCATCCCTCACCATCCCAGCTGCCACATCCTGCATCCCATAACCCTGCCTGCAGCATTCCCACATCCCATAACCCTGCGTGAATCATATCCACTTCCCTTATCCCATCCCTGCTGCTTCCTGCAGCATCCTGCATCCCTCACCGCTGCCTCCTGCATCCCTCCTCCTGTCTGCAGCATCCTGCATCCCTGCATCCCTGCATCCCTGCATCCCTGCACCCCTGCACCCCTGCACCCCTGCATCCCTGCATCCCTGCACCCCGGCATCCTGCATCCCTGCATCCTGCATCCCTGCATCCCTGCATCCCTGCATCCCTGCACCCCTGCACCACTGCACCCCTGCATCCCTGCATCCCTGCACCCCTGCATCCTGCATCCCTGCCTCCCTGCACCCCTGCACCCCTGCACCCCTGTACCCCTGCATCCCTGCACCCCTGCATCCTGCATCCTTGCATCCCTGCATCCCTTCATCAGTGCATCTTGCATCCCTGCATCCCTGCATCCCTCCTCCTGCCTGAAGCATCCCTGCATCCCTGCCTCTGGCATTCTGCATCCCTGCATCCATGTATCCTGCATCCCTGCATCCCTGCATCCCTACATCCCTGCACCCCTGCATCCTGCATCCTGCACCCCTGCATCCTGCATCCTGCATCCCTGCATCCTGCATCCTGCATCCCTCCGTGCACCACTGACCCTGTGGGTGCCCTCAGCACCCCAAAGTGATGCCTGTCCCTGCTGTCCTGTCCTGTCCTGTCCCTGCTGTCCTGTCCTGTCCTGTCCTGTCCCTGCTGTCCTATCTGTCCTGTCCTGTCCTGTCCCTGCTGTCCTGTCCTGTCCTGTCTTGTCCTGTCCTGTCCACCCCGAGCCCAGCCCACGTTCCCAGTGCTGGAATCGAGGATCGTGGGGTTGGATTTGGATTCCTGGGCAGGTGAGGAGGGTGGGATCCCCGAGCACGGAGACTCCTGGGGCTGTTTGTCACCGGCACAGTGGAAAAGGTCTCCTGAACCCTCAGTGTGGTCAATTAGGGATCGCTAATTGTAATTACAGTCCTGGCAGGGGCGTGGGGATGGCTCTGAGTGTTACCCCGGTGGTCACTGCAGCCATGCTGCTGTGCCTGTGACATCCTGTGGCATCCTGTGACATCCTGTGACATCCTGTGGCATCCTGTGGCATCCTGGCACCAGGGACAGCTGGAGCAGTGCTGGGATTGGCTGCTCCCCGTGGTCCGTGCCCATCCAGGCACAGCCAGCTCAGGGTGTCACGCTCTGGGTGCTCCCAGGGGTGTCCCCTGTCCTGCTGTCCCATGGCTGAGGTGTCACTGAGTGTCCTTCACCTCGGTCATGGTGCTGCAACCGTGCAGCAGCTGCAGCTGTCCCTGTCCCATCCCTGTCCCATCCCTGTCCCATCCCTGTCCCATCCCTGTCCCATCCCTTTCCCCCCTGCCCCACCTTGCCATGGGGAAGTGAGGCAGGGCAGGGCAGCTGTGGGAGCGCTCCTGGAGGGACAGGGATGGCACAGGGACAAGCACAGGACAGGGACAGGCACAGGGACAGGGACAGGCACCAGGACAGGGATGACGCAGGCACAGGGACAGGACAGGGATGGCACAGGCACAGGGACAGGGACAGGGATGGCACAGGGATGGCACAGGGATGACACAGGCACAGGGACAGTCACAGGCACAGGGACAGGACAGGGATGACACAGGCACGAGGACAGTCACAGGCACAGGGACAGGGACAGGGATGGCACAGGGACAGACACAGGGACAGTCACAGGCACAGGACAGGGATGGCACAGGCACAGGGACAGACACAGGGACAGGGACAGTGACAGGCACAGGCACAGGACAGGGATGGCACAGTCACAGGCACAGGGACAGGACAGGGATGGCACAGGGATGACACAGTCACAGGGACAGGGATGGCACAGGGATGACACTGTCACAGGGACAGACACAGGGAGGGACAGCGTGGCCGCTCTCCAGGGCAGGCCGAGTTCCCAGCCGTGCTGCAGCCCCGCCCGTGCCGCCCCAGCCGTGCCCGCAGCCCCGAGCGCCGCCGTCTCTCCCGTGCCAGGTAAAAGTGTGGTTCCAGAACCGGCGGACGAAATACAAACGGCAGAAGCTGGAGGAGGAGGGCCCCGACTCGGAGCAGAAGAAGAAGGGCTCGCACCACATCAACCGATGGCGCCTCGCCACCAAGCAGTCGAGCGGAGAAGACATCGACGTCACCTCCAACGACTAAAGCAGGGACAGGCTCCAGGTGCGGCCACCATGGAGAGGACCCCGGGGCAGGCCTGGGGGACACAGGCGGTGGCACCGACAGGACTGTAGGGACATCGCCCGCCGCCGCCGCCGCCGCCCGCGGCCTTTCCTCGGGGCGCGGCCCGACCCCGTCCCTCGGAGGGGCTTTCGGGGAGCTCCCGCAGAGCCGAGGAGCGAGAGGAGCCCGCCAGGGCGGCCCCGGGACCGCGCATCCTCCTCGGAGCCCGAGTCCGTGAGATCCGACCGACGCGTCCCACCACAAGCTCAATGTTCCAAACCCTTCCTCATTTACCTTTTTATTCTCATTTGCCACCGTTTTTCCCGCCCCTTCCTTTCCCCACCGTCCCCCCTGCATCGTTTTCTCCGTTGGTTCATGGTTTGGGTTTTTTTATGAGGATTTATTTTAATTTATTCTCTCTCGCCGTGCCCGTGTGCGTGCGTTCCCTCCCGTAGGTAGCAGCTGTAGTGAGTGTTACTGCGTGGAAATAAAAGGCAAAACGTGCTGCAAACTCACCTGGATGGAAACTGCGGGGCAGGGCGGCAGGGCACCGGCACCTCCTCGGGCTGGGGACAGCGGGGGCCCGGCGGGACGGCGGCTGGGGGGCACTGGGGGGTACTGGGGGGAGACTGGGAGGGCACTGGGGGGACTGGGGGGAGACTGGGAGGGCACTGGGGGGACTGGGGGGAGACTGGGAGGGCACTGGGGGGACTGGGGGGAGACTGGGAGGGCACTGGGGGGGACAGGGAAGCACTGCGGGGGCCTGGGAGGTACTGGGAGGGCACTGGGGGGACTGGGGGGGGACTGGGAAGCACTGGGAAGCCCTGGGGAGGCACTGGGGGACACTGGTGGGCACTGGGAGAAAGGGAATGAGCGCAGTTTGGAGGATCCGTGGCAGTGAGTGAGGACAGGGGGGTCCTTAGGGGTCCCACAGGTGTGACAGGGATGGAGGGTGTCCCTGGCTGTCCCCGGGGGTCCCATAGGTGTGACAGGGATGGGCGGTGTCCCCGGGGGTCCCACAGGTGTGACAGGGATGGGCGGTGTCCCCGGGGGTCCCACAGGTGTGACAGGGATGGGCGGTGTCCCCGGGGGTCCCACAGGTGTGACAGGGATGGGCGGTGTCCCCGGGGGTCCCACAGGTGTGACAGGGATGGGGGCTATCCCCGGGGGTCCCACAGGTGTGACAGGGATGGGGGGTGTCCCCGGGGGTCCCACAGGTGTGACAGGGATGGGGGGTGTCCCTGGCTGTCCCCGGGGGTCCCTGGGGGTCACAGGTAAGCGGCAGCTCCAGGAACCGCAGCTCCACACCCGCACAGGGATTGGATGTCGGGAGAGCTCCCAGTGCCCTGAGGATCCCTCGGGAATGTCCCCTGAGGGATGGAGGGGACACCCAGGGCTGGCCCCACCGGGACCCCCAGACCTGATGAGGGATTTGGGGTCAGGGGGAGCTCAGGGGAGCAAGGCCGGGAGTCCTTCCCAGGTGCTCCTGGAATTTGGGGGAAAACACATCTCCTAATTATATATATATATAAATTATATATCTAAAAATATATAAATATAAAAAATATATAAAAATATATAAATTATATATATAAATTATATAAATATAAAAATATAAAAATATATAAATTATATATATATAAAATAATTCATATATATAAATTATATATATATAAATAAAATAATTCTCTATAAAATACAGCCTCTATACACACATCTATATACATAAATAAAACATATCCCTCCTAATGCATATATAAAGTGTATATGGTATTTTATAATTTATATTTTATATATATTTATCAGTATGCACACCATCCATCGTGTACATAATATGTATATATAAAATATAGATTGTGCTCGGTAAGGCCTCTATTATATATAATGATATCTAATTACATATTTTAAAATATATCCATTGGCTCATATATTTTATTATATGTACTAGATGATAATTATATATATATTATGCCTTTAGTTATATGTATTTTTATATTCTAGCGCGATACAAATTTTGTAATTATTTTTGTATAATTATATACAAACACACAAAATTCATCATTTCTGCTGCTGGGAAAGCGCCCTCCCCACATCCGGGGAAAATCATTCCAAGGAAAATCCCCCACCCCGTGCAGCTTCTTCCCTGTAAAACCAGCCCATAATAACCTTGTCCTTAGGCAGGTTTAAATCCCAAAATTCCCACGGAATTCCACACGGAGCTGGGAGTGCAGCAAGTGTTTGATCTCTTTTATTCCGACAGATCCGAGGGTTACACGAGGAGCCGCGGGCGGTGGCTACGGAGGGGTTAAAAAGAAATGGAGCGGGGGGGGGCCCGGGGGTGTCCCGGGGGTGTCTGGTGTGTCCTGGGGGTGTCCCAAGGTGTCCCGGGGGTGTCCCGGGTGTGTCTCGGGCTGTCCCAGGTGTGTCCCGGGGTGTCCCGGTGTGTCCCGGGGGTGTCCCGGTGTGTCCCCGGTGTGTCCCGGTGTGTCCCGGGGTGTCCCGGGCTGTCCCGGGGTGTCCCGGTGTGTCCCGGTGTGTCCCGGTGTGTGTCCCGGTGTGTCCCCGGTGTGTCCCGGTGTGTCCTGGTGTATCTCGGGCTGTCCCGTTGTGTCCCAGGGGTGTCCCGGTGTGTCCCGGGGTGTCCTGGGGGTGTCTGGAGTGTCCCAGGTGTGTCCCGGGCTGTCCCGGGTGTGTCCCGGTGTGTCCCCGGTGTGTCCCGGTGTGTCCTGGTGTATCCCGGGCTGTCCCGTTGTGTCCCAGGGGTGTCCCGGTGTGTCCCGGGGTGTCCTGGGGGTGTCTGGAGTGTCCCAGGTGTGTCCCGGGCTGTCCCGGGTGTGTCCCGGGCTGTCCCGGGGGTGTCCGGGGTGCCCACCCCGCTGGAAGACGCCGCTGCTGGCAGCTGACCCCTGGCCATTCCCGAGGGATCGGCTGTCAGGGTGTGCTCAGATCCCAGGATGAGAGAGATGCCGGGTGTGGAACGAGCCGGACAAAGCGGGGAAAAGCCCAAAGTGGCGTTTCCTAAAGGGACCTGGGGACACACCCAGAGCTGGGGACGGCCACCACCCCCAGGACAGCGGGTGCCACCCTGGAATGTCCTCAGAGCATCCCGGGGGAGCTGCTCTGTCCCCAGAGCTCTGCCCAGGGCCTCACACAGCCCAGCAGCCCCCGAGCTCCTCCCGAGGCAATCCCAGGCTCTGGATCTCCACCCCAGCGCCCCAGGAGGAGGAGGGGACACCCCATCCCTGGGCCAGGAGCCATCGGTGGGGATGTCCCTGGGGACAGGCTCCGGCTCTGGCCAGGTGACCCCACATGCCAGCCGTGCCCACAGTGACCTCTGCCCATCCTGGGAGCCGGGCACACGCCAGGATGGGGAGCAGGAAAAGGAACAACAAGGAGAAACGGAAGGAGCTGAGCCGTGCCCAGGCTGGGAGGGTTGGCACGGGGGTGACACCGCCCTGGCCTTGTCCCCTGGTTGTCCCCCGGGCACCTCAGGGAGCAGCCAACAGCCCCATCCTCCAGGAGAGACTCAAAACTTCTCGCCGGCACCTTTTGCTGCAACCTGGTCCTCATTATTCCTTAATTAACATAGCCAAGAAATCAATTAGCTGCGACATTTCTAATTAAATACTCCGGGAGATGATCATCTCATTATTATTCTCTGCCGAGGTGAAGGACTCGATGTGAGCTCCGCGCTCCCCGTTCCCCGCGCTTCCCCAATTACAGGAAATCGGGAATGCAAATGCTCGGGGTTGTTCCCGCAAACCCAAGGCTCCGTTTTGTGCAGGAGGAGATTAATTAGCGATTAAGTGAACGTGCAGAATGTTATCGTTAGCTGCGGTGTGGAGTCCTCCTGGCACCGCTCACTGCCCTAATCACCGGTGCCGCTGTGGCACCGCGCTCCCGGCTCCGTGTCCCGGCCCAGCGCCCTCGGAAAGGCCCAGTGGGACATTCCCGAGCTCTCCGTGGCTCCCACCACGAGGTTGGGGATCAGGAGCTCCCAGGGCTGCTCTAGGAGGGAGCCCAACCTTGAACTGGGAGTGGAACTGCCTTTGGAGATCCCAAAGGGTCGGGTTTGGGTCTGCTGAGCTTTTCTGCTGTTTTGAGATCAAATCCGAGCCCAGCCCTCGCTGGGGTGCTGGAACTGCATCAACTGGGTTCAGCTGGGGACGTCGTGATCCTGCTGTCCCCGTGCTGGGATGCACAAGGACTCTGCCCGAGAGTTTGGGACCACAGGGCCACCACAACCTGCTCCTCGTGCAAACCTCTCCTGGTGCTGCTGGTCAGCACGCCGGGGACAGCGAGGGGAACACGGCAGAGAGGGATCTGCAGTGGCCTGACTGTCCTGGGGGATGCAGTGGCTTTGGGAGAGGGGGGGACAAATCCCAGGGTGTCCAGGGCCAGCTCCTCACCCCAGACCTGCAGGGGCTGTGGAGGGGCTTGGAGCACGCTGGCAGGGGTTTGGAATGGGCTGAGATTCCAGGTCCCTTCCAGCCCAAAGCATTCCACGACTCTGTGCTTCCAGAGGAGGCCGGAGAAGGGAAGTGAGCCCAGGACTGGCTCTCCCCAGCTCCCAGCTGGAGCTTCCACCAAGGGCAGGGGCCACGAGCGGCACTGGGACAAAATTTGGGAGCATCCTGTGCTGCCCCTGCCAGAGGCTGGCGGAGGTAACCCCGGGAAGGGCTGGCTCAGGCCCGGGATGTTCCACTGCTCAGCACAAACGCTGCCGAGCTGACTGAGCCCCGCTCTGCTGCCACACAAAGCCAAACAAGTCTGACGGGGTTTGTGCGGGCAGACGACAAATCCAGACTCATTTAGGCCCTTTGATTGTCACTTGTTTGACGGAGCAGCTGCCTTTGAGCCGAGCCTCGCTCGCAGCGCAGCTCCTCTGACATCCCCCAAGCTGGTCCCAGCCTCTCCCGCAGGATCAGGCCCGCTGCATTCCCTGGAGCTGCCTGGCTTTAATAAATCCCCAGTCTTCTCCAAACTGATCCAGCCCCTACCGATGATCACTGGATTAATGGGACGAGCAGCCCCTGCTAATTACCACACCCACTCCCATCACCGGGAAAACCGGGAGCTGGCTCTTTCCCGAGGCAGAACTTGGTCAATCCCTGCTTTTCCTTGGGTGTCTCCTGAAGAAGCACAGGCAGCCAAGCCCAGCCTCCTCTCATCCCCTGGAAATTTCTTGCTCCCGGTAACCCCAGCTCAGACACCAAACCTCGGATCTGCCATCACCGACAAACCCAAACCACCGCTCCCTCCTCGCTCCACCTCTCCGGAACCTCACGGCAAAGCGCAGCCTCCATCCCTTCCTCCTTCCCCCTCCTCCAAACAAAAGCCTGGGATGAGGGAGCTTTGAAGCAGAAAGGCTCCGGCAGTGCCCAAAACCAGCGGGAAGGGGGAACGCTGCAGCCAGGCCGAGCCAGGAGCCTCCTCCCTGTCCTGCCTCTGCCCCATCCCTGCTGGGATTGTGCCTCCTGCAGCAGCTCCCCCTCGGCTCCACGGAGCCCAAACGGGAATTTCAGCCTCAGAGGAGCTTCAGTCTGCTCCAGAACCGCCATGGGTGCGGGGCCAGGCACCCCCGGCACCCCACAGCGATCCCAGCCCCATGGAAAGGGCATTCCCAGGCTCCCAGCAGCATTCCCAGGCCAGCATCCCTTCTCCCCTCAGTGCTGCGGGAGTTCCCCGCTCCCAGGGCGCTGCCAGGAGCACAGATGGCCGTGGAAGCGTCCCCAGGACAGCTGTCACCTCCTCACGGCTTCCCCACATCCTCTGGACCGTACATTCATCTCACCCAGTGCATGGCAGGAGCTGGGCTGGGCCCAACCCAGCTCTCCTGGGCTGAGCCGGGCCCGCTCTGGGTGTCCTGCGCTCTTTGGGAGCTGGTCAGGGCCTGGCCCCTCCTGCCCTGTTTGCTGAGCTGTAAATCCACAGCGTGGATCCCTTTTGTGCAATTTTTCCTGATTTCCACCGGGGCAGGATCGGCCCTGAGCTGCCCCACGGCGCGGTCCCGCTCCTGTGGGTCGGGCTCAACACACGGGGGGGCTCGGGCCTCCCAATCCAGGCATGACAATAAATCCATCAAATACATTCTGTGTCAGAGCTGATTTGGTTTCCCCTTTCCCCCCACCCTCCCCAAGCCCACAATAAATGGGAATTTGACAGGGAAGAGCCTGTGCTGCCCCAGTCCCTCCCCACGGTGACCCCACAGGGATCCCAGGGGACATCCCGCCTTTGGAATGCTCTGCTGGTGGCCACGCTCCAAATGAACCTGGGGGAATCCCTCAGGGTTGAATTTTGGCTGTGATACACCAGAAAACCAAACTGTGGCCCCAAACCCACAGGAGGACAGGACTGGGTGCAGTGTGGGGGTGACTCAGCCCTCCCCTTCAGCAGCCAGTGAAGGGACGGACAGACAGACGGACGGACAGGTGTCCCCAGAGGGAAGTGTCCCCTCTGAGGGTGCAGTGTCACAGCTGCCAGCACCTGGCTTTGGGTCCTCGTCTGCACCAGCACAAGGCCTTGGGCAGGGTCGGCTTTGATGGGTTGGGGGTTGGAAAAAAGAGAGAAGAGGAAGAGGAAGAGGAAGAGGAAGAGGAAGAGGAAGAGGAAGAGGAAGAGGAAGAGGAAGAGGA